AGGCGTCCCCACTCAATCACAGGCAACCCAAGCAGGGAATCCCTTCCCTGTTTCCCGATCTCATCGGGGAGCGATGTGTCAACATCGGCGGCGGCCGCCAGGACTGGAACCGTCATGTCCCCAGCTGGCTTGCAACGCCCCGACCCCAGGAGGCATGCGCATTCGGAGGTGGTTGGCATGCGCGACAGAGCGTCCGCATTTGTGTGGCGAATGCCCTTACGATAGGTGGTGTCAAAATCGAAATCCTGGAGGACCTCCAGCCATCGGGACAATTGTCCCGATGGCTGTTGAACCTTCAGGGCGTACTGCAGTGCCGCATGATCCGTACGGACAGTGAAATGCTGACCGTACAGATATGGGCGGTACTGTTGGATGAAGAAAACAATTGCCAACAGTTCTCTACGGGTGACACAATATTTTTGCTCCGCTGGAGACAACACCCGACTGCCGTACGCAACCACCCGTTCCACGCCATCAACCACCTGGGAAAGCACGCCTCCGATACCTGTGTTGCTCGCGTCGGTGTCGAGCAAAAACGGCCTCGAAAAATCGGGGTAAGTCAAAGGAGGAGCCTTCACCAATGCATCCCGAAGGGAGCAGAAAGCTACTTCCTCATCCCGACCCCAGTGGAACCGAACCCCTTTTGATGTCAAAGCATGTAGGGGTTTGGCAATTGTAGCAAAATTAGCGACGAACCGTCGGTAATATGAAGCGAAGCCAATAAAACTCCTCACCTCCCCCACCGAGGTCGGAATTGGCCAGGAGCTGACACACTGCGTTTTGGCGGGATCGGTAGCAATACCCGAGCGCCCCACGATGTGCCCCAAATAACGCACTGACTCGCGAAACAAATAGCATTTTTGGGGCTTAAATTTCAAATTAGCAGCCCGCATCCTTTGGAAAACCGCCCGCAGCCTCTGGAGATGTTCGTCAAAGGTTCTTCCAAAAACAATTACGTCATCCAAATAAATCAGGCACGATTCCCATTGCAATCCAGCCAAAACCAATTCCATCAACCGCTGGAAGGTTGCCGGCGCTGAGTGTAAGCCCATCGGCAACCGGTTGAATTGGAACAGGCCGTGCGGTGTACGGAAAGCGGTTTTAGGCTTCGAATCATCGTCCAGAGGAAGCTGCCAGAATCCCGAAAGTAAATCTAGTGTGGAGAAGAATCGCGCTCCCGCCAAGGCGTCCAGCGATTCGTCCATCCGTGGGAGCGGGTATGCGTCGGCAACCGAAACCTTATTAAGGCGACGGAAATCTACGCAAAACCGCAACGAGCCATCCTGTTTCTTAACCAGGACAATCGGTGCTCCCCAAGGGCTGGTAGAGGGAGAGATAATGTCGGCGGCTAACATGTCATCGACAGCCGATTTGACATGGTCCTTTTCGGCGGGACTCAACCGAAAAGGATTTTGGCGAATAGGCGCGCTGTCACCCGTGTCAATATGGTGACGCAGCAGGTGAGTACAACCCAAATCGTATTTATTCCGACTGAAAACGTCGGAAAATTCCTTTAGCAGCGATCTAAGCCGTTGGCGCTCTAAATTGGACAGGTTCGTCGATCCCGCACAAAGCGCGTCGAGCCACCCTTCATCGCCGTCCGAATGCGGGTGCGTCCGAGCAGCAGTGTCAATGTGGTTCACGGCAGGTTCCTCGCAGGGCACCGGCGTCGCGTGAGCGAGCACAGTCCCTTGGGGAACCACTACTGTCTGCGACCCGACATTGAGGACCGCGATGAAGGGATCCTCGTCCCCCCTTACGATGGTCTGGGCCGGAATTAAATGAGGCCCATTAACCCCGGCCCTAGACGGCCCCAGCACAACACCCTGATCCCCAACACCCTTAGCGAAGGGCCTACGAAGTTTAAGAGGTACCAGCATTTGTGCCCCCGGCGGCACACGCACTGTTTTTACGACGAACGCCGGTACCGTCGCGAACGCCGTCCGAGTCGCTACAGGGGAAGGCAGGAACGCCATACGTCGCCCCGACGGAAGCTCAATGCATCCTTGGTCGATCAAAATACGAATTGGCATCCTGCCCAAGAAGTCCGTCCCCAGCAGGCACGGAACTGCCAGTGAGGAGGAGACAAAAATCGGCCCCGACAATTTGATGTCCCCGATAGAAATTTGCGCTCGAATCTGTCCCACGATGCCGAGAGAGCCCCCGTTAGCGGCATAGAAAGGGACATTAACCGGTAGCAAAGGACGGCTCTGCACCGGTAGAATATTGTAAATTAGTTCCGAAATAATTGTCGCCGATGCCCCTGTATCGACTATGATGCGTACCTCCACCCCATCAATGTAACCGACCACGGCCGACGATCCCGACGCCGCGGCCACCACGCGATGGGCCAACACGGACCACCGCTCGGGCTCGATTTGAGTCCCCGCAGTGATCCGCGCCGGTCCATCGCAGCGCCCCACCGGCCCCCCGTTCGTTACGGTGCGAGAGTGTGCGACAGGTGGGTGCGTTGGCCAAACATGTGAGGTGCCGCGACTCGCCGGATCATGGTGCTGGAGCTTGGGAGGAGGAAGAGGAGGGCCGGCGTCCTGTCGAGGCGTCGTCCCCCGCTGTCGAGGAGAACGGCACCCCGAGGCGACATGGCCCCGGATGCCGCAGTTGAAGCACCGCGGGAGCGCCGATGGAGACGATGGACGGTCGAAACGCCTCGGCCCGTCCCGACCCGGCCGCGCCCCCGTCGTCTGTTGCCGTCGATGGTCGACGGCATAAAGTTCTTCTGACGGAAGGGTGGCTGCAGCCACCGCACGCCCAGCCGATGCCCTGTTTGCCTTTCGCCGCTGCTGCAGAAGGTTGGCGTGGAGGAGTCGCGCAGCCTGGAGGGAGGTCATTTCTGCATCCCCTTGTGCGATGACGACGATGTCGAGGTCGTCCGCCAAGAGGAGGATCTTCTCCGCGACCATTGCGTCCACGCCGTCGTCGTCCATGCGGGGAAAGGCTGTTTTTGCCAGCGCCAGAAGACTTGTCCGGAAAGCCAGAGGCGACTCTTTTCACCCCGCCTGCGATCGTAGAACTGCTGACGGCATTCGGCTGAAGGTCCATAGACCCCGGCCAGCAGCTGTAGCGCCATTGGTAGTGTAGCCCGCTTCTCTTTTGGCGCCGACGTGAGTGCGGCGAGCGCGTCCCCATCGAGGAGCGCCGGCAGCGCGCAAAGGGCCTCCTCGTCGGACCACCGCGCCATCTCCTGATGGGCGAGGAAGCGTCGCCGGAAGCCGCCCCAGTCACCCTCCGCACCGATGAATTCCTTCAGCGGGGGCAGCCTTTGGTGAAGCGCAGCGGTCGATGTGGACTCCCGCAGGTTGCTTTCACCTCCCTTTGGCGGTGCCTCGGCGCGACTGGCCGATGGCATCGCCTGTCGCGGCAGCGATGACGCATCCTTCGGCTGCGATGACGCTGCAGCCCCGGCGACGGCGATGTCGGAGCCGATGTCTAAGCTGGCCACGCCCCGAACAGCCGCGGCGTCCATGGCGGGAAATTCAAATTGTGAAGTCGCTGAAATGGCGGGAAAGTGCTCCGGCCGCCGGTTCTCCTCGCCCTGCGGTGGACCACCAGCCCCCAACCGCGTAATGCCTTCCAGTGTGGCGGCAGCGGCATAAAGTAGCTCCGCCAGCCGTTCGTGAGCCAGTCGTAGTGCATCTGGCTGCGGCCCCTCTCCATGCTGACGTCCCGGTGAGAAGGCGCCAGGCTCCGGCTGCACCCCATCTTGTTGCTCTGTCTCGGGCTCGGCGATCTCCGCGGCGTCCTCCTCTTGTGGTACCCTGGTCCGAGCTGTATGGCGCGTTTCCATTTTTACCACTTCTGACGCCAGATGAAGTACCCGTCGAGGACGCTTGACAACGGAGTTGAGGCACACGTATATTTATTTAACAAGTTGCCAGTACAGGACAGCCCTAGAGGGGGTAGCGGCCCCCTCACCCGTATAACTCAGGGAATACCCCTAGCTATCCATAGCCTATCCCCTGAGTCCTCCACTAAGAGCTAGGGGAGGCTGTCTGGCCCGACACTGGTAATCGGGCTCGGTACCCGGAGTCCCAGAGCACTGGCTCTGGTTCACGGGACCACGCCACTGGCTCGAGCCTGATCCCGTGGGGCCCTGATAAGGGCGGCGATCAGGGGGAGTCCAGGGCTCTAGCTACGACGTCTTCCGACTTCTTAGCTTAACTATAACATAACTGACTAAGCCCATATAACGACCCCTTTTTATACCCAACCCTCCTTGAGGGGTGGGGCCCCGGGGGATCGTAACGCCGAACCAGCCCCCCCCCAGGGTGTCTGGCTCGGACGTCGCAGAGGGCATCTCCCTGTGCACACACGTAGCCCCGCCCACTGTGTTTCTTTCCCATAGGCTGCCATGCATAACGGCCCTCTCTCCAACGTCCCTACACTAGTAACGAATTGGCATATTTAGTTTACGTGACAAACCTATACTATCTTCTTCTTGGTTCTTTCGGTAAAGTCACGTAGAAGGGAAATAATACAAATAATACAAATAAAACATTAAATAATTCTCACGACGTTTCGGCCACAACGCAAGCAGCCGTCCTCAGGTGAAGAACAGGTCTGTCGGGAAGACAGCGTCTGAATGGTCATTCTGTTCTTCACCTGAGGACGGCTGCTTACGTTGTGGCCGAAACGTCGTGAGAATTATTTTATGTTTTATTTGTATTATTTTATTATTTCCATTCTACGTGACTTTACCGAAAGAACCAAGAAGATGAATCCCTGCAGTCACGAAAGCTTTAAATCGAAATCTATACTATCTTCTTGGTTCTTTCGGTAAAGTCACGTAGAAGGGAAATAATAAAATAATAAAATAAAACATTAAATAATGACCTATACTAATTGGCTGTGTCGGGTGGTGGCGGATTTAACGACGCATTTATATATTTACGTGATTTGATCTGACCCCAAAAAAAAAAACCCCTCTTACGGACAACATCTGTCGCGAAAGTCTGCGAGTTAAACGCTTTTCTCTGGCTCAGGCGATCTGACCCAAACAAAAAACCGAATCTGATTACGAATCGTGATACTAAATGATTGTGATACCTATGCTGCTGCTGCTATTGCGACACTAGCTCAGGGAGGGTCAGGGGGGGATTGGATCCGAATGCACCTCCCTAAGGACTGATCCGTGACGTTATTTGTTGAGAACCGCCACCTGGTATCCACCAGCGCAGTGCATTGCGGCTCCTAGAACTTTGCGAGTTTTAGTTTTTTCCACCGAATTCGGAAAAATAATGCCGCCACCACCTCTTGTTACTCTGTTTGCCGAGCCCTGCCACCAGCTGGTGCTGTCGCCTGCGCCGGGGGTGCTGATTCCTACTCAGAGGTCTCAAACGGGTTTTGATTCCTTAGCCGTACCCGTACCTGGCCGCACCAGGGTCGCAAACGGCTACCCGTACCCGGCTGGGGACGGGTAGCCGGGTATCGGGTAGGGTACGGGTATCGGGTACCCGGTTGCGACCTCTGTTCCTCCTCCCCTTCCTCCTCCTCTTTCCCTCTTCCTTGAGGAGGATGCGCTACAACGGGAAGGAGCTGTCCTGGCTGGCAAGGCAGCCTCGCGGCTTCCAGCGGGAGGGAAAGCTCTTCGTGGGGAACGTCCCCCCAGGAAGCCTCCTTCACCGACGGCCAGGTATGGATCTGGACTCGTCTTCATGCAGATGTCCATGCTGGTTACCCCCTTGTTCTCCACCCCCCTGCTCCCATCCCCCTCCATCGTGACATCACCGTCACTTGGTGGCGAATGGTTGTTGTTGTTGTTGCTGTGTGTGTGTACACGTGCAGTTCTCTCGGAGCGCTGGGGCCGTCTCAGAGGGAACCTTCTGTTCCTGCGCAAGTCACGTGACAAGGTGACCTCCACGCCGGTGGGGGGGGGGGGGAGGGGTCAATGAGTGGTGCGCTAATTGGGTAGCGAGTTCATTTGGTTATGGGGGGCATCGCCACATTGTCAGGGTCGTTTGGGTTGCACCCACGGGGGAAGGGGGGGGGAGTTTCACACAACGTCTGCGAGTGATCCATCAACCCTCGCTGCTGCTGCTGCTGCTGCTGCGGCTGCTGCTGTTGCGGCTGCTGCTGCAGCTGCTGTTGCTGCTGCTGTTGCTGCTGCTGCTGCGGCCGCCTCGACAGCGCCGGATCACAAACAGTGCAGCAGCGTAGCCACCACCACCGCCGCCGCCGCTACTCAGCGTGCGTGTTGCGCGTTTGTGTGTGCGAAGGAGTCGGACGCGGATGAGGTGGTGGTGTTGGAGAGGTGCGTTATTTGTACGGACAACGATGGAACGAACTGCGGCCTCACCATCAGTGAGTGAGCACGCCGTGCCCGGCACACCACATCCATCATCGCTGTTGCCCGCGTGTGTGTGCGCACGGCCCGGGGTCGCTCTCGAAAGAGGCGCGGTGGCGACGGCATTTCCTGCGTCTCGGCGGGGATCGTTTCTTAAACGCAGTTTCTGAGAGCCCACGATTTACAAGATGCCAAGTGGGCAGCAGCAACCAGCACTAACATCAAAGTTGTAATGGGTGAGAGTTGTGAATGTGGGTCTAGAGTTGAGCGAGGTTATTGTTGTTGGGGGTAAGAACTTGGGCGGGGGGGGAGGTAGAGAGATGATGGTGGTGGTGGTGGTGATGATGGTGATGATGTTGGTGATGATGGTGGTGGTGATGGTGATGATGATGATGGGAGGAGGGGATTCCAGAGTGGAGCAGAGCGAGGGGGAAAAACAGAGAGAGGAGTGAGGTGACTTGCAGTCTGGTGAGTGGGTGGGTGAGTTGGTGAGTGGCTGAGTGAGTGCATGAGTGAGTAGGTGAGTGGGTAGTGAGAGAGTGGGTGGGTGTTTCGATTTAAAGCTTTCGTGACTGCAGGGATTCATCTTCTTGGTTTTTATTATGTTTTATTTTTATTATTTTATTACTTCCCTTCTACATGACTTTACCGAAAGAACCAAGAAGAGTGGGTGGGTGGCTGAGCGTGAGAGTGAGCGGGGTAGGTGAGTGGCTGAGCGTGAGAGTGAGCGGGTAGGTGAGTGGGTAGTGAGCGGGGTAGGTGAGTGGGTAGTGAGCGGGGTAGATTAGTGGGTAGTGAGCGGGGTAGGTAAGTGGCTGAGCGTGATCTCGACTGTCTCCCCCCACTCACCCCCACACCCCTCTGCCCCCCGCTGCCCCCACAGGTTTCCCAGGCCCCGGGGTGTCTCTGTACCTGGAGGTCTCCGGCCGCTCGGAGCGCGACGCTTGGAGCCGCGCGCTGGGCCGCGCCGGCGCCGAGGCCCTGGCGGGCCGCGTGGCGGCGCTCCGCGCGGCCATCTCCGGCCTACGCGGCCTCGACCCTCGGGCTCCCGGCACCCCCAGCACCCCGCACCCCCCCGGCACCACCGGCACCCCGCACCCCCCCGGCACCACCGGCACCCCGCACCCCCCCGGCATCCCCAGCACCCCGCACCCCCCCGGCCCCCGGGAGGGCGGCAACCCGGCGCTGGAGTTGAGCATCGGTGAGTTGGCACGGACTAGCGGCGGGCGGGCGTGCGTACTCGCCGTGTGTGTACTCACCGTGTGTGTGTGTGTACTCACCGTGTGTGTGTGTAGTGTGTCCACTCACCGTGTGTGTGTACTCACCGTGTACTCACCGTGTACTCACCGTGTACTCACCGTGTACTCACCGTGTGTGTGTGTGTGTAGTGTGTCCACTCACCGTGTGTGTGTACTCACCATGTACTCACCGTGTGTGTACTCACCGTGTGTGTTCTCACCGTGTGTGTGTGTAGTGTGTCCACTCACCGTGTGTGTGTACTCACCGTGTACTCACCGTGTACTCACCGTGTACTCACCGTGTACTCACCGTGTACTCACCGTGTGTGTGTGCTCACCGTGTACTCACCGTGTACTCACCGTGTGCTCACCGTGTACTCACCGTGTACTCACCGTGTGTGTGTACTCACCGTGTACTCACCGTGTGCTCACCGTGTACTCACCGTGTACTCACCGTGTGTGTGTGCTCACCGTGTACTCACCGTGTGCTCACCGTGTACTCACCGTGTACTCACCGTGTGTGTGTACTCACCGTGTACTCACCGTGTGCTCACCGTGTACTCACCGTGTACTCACCGTGTGTGTGTGCTCACCGTGTACTCACCGTGTACTCACCGTGTGCTCACCGTGTACTCACCGTGTACTCACCGTGTGTGTGTACTCACCGTGTACTCACCGTGTGCTCACCGTGTACTCACCGTGTACTCACCGTGTGTGTGTGCTCACCGTGTACTCACCGTGTACTCACCGTGTGCTCACCGTGTACTCACCGTGTACTCACCGTGTGTGTGTACTCACCGTGTACTCACCGTGTGCTCACCGTGTACTCACCGTGTACTCACCGTGTGTGTGTGCTCACCGTGTGCTCAGCTTGCCGGGGGCTGCCGTGCGGGCCAGGCGACAGCCCCCCGAGCCCGTTTGCCCGCGTCTACGTCTACTCCCGGCGAGCACACAACCCGACGTGGACGCTGCACTCGCACACCGAGACCATCGAGGCACCGCACACCGCAACACACACGCCGCACCGCACGCCACACCGCACCACACTGCACTACACTACACCACACTACACCACACCACACTACACCACACTACACCACACTACACCACGTCGCACTACACCACACTACACCACGCCGCACCGCACTCCACACAGCACCACACTGCACTACACTACACCACGCCGCACTACACTACACCATACTACACCAACACCACGCCGCACTACACCGCTCCACACACCACACTATGCCACACTACACCACGCCACACCACGCCGCACTACACCGCACCACACACCACACTATGCCACACTACACCACAGTACACCACACACCGCACCGCATTCCACCACATCAAGCAGCACCACACCACACATTGCACCACGCACCACACTACACCACACTACACCACGCCGCACTACACCGCACCACACACCACACTATGCCACACTACACCACAGTACACCACACACCGCACCGCATTACACCACACCAAGCAGCACCACACCACCCAACGAACTGCTGCACCATTCACCGAACCTTGCCTGGCACCCCACTGCATATTCTTAGGTTTTTTCGGTAAAGTCACGTAGGTAAAAACATTAAAAAGTAAAATAAAATAAAAAATCACGACGTTTCAGAGGCAACACAAGCTTCCGTCTTCAGGTGGTACCGTCACAGCCACGACAGCTGTATCAAGTAAATGAGAGATTGCAAGAGCTACCACTCCGTTTATATAATGGTTGGAGAGGGGGTGGGGCAAGGGCCGCATACTTTTTATTAATATGGTAAGGTGAGGCTTAGAGGCTTAAAGCTGAGCCTTTGTTATGGAGAGGTGCGGTTTGTGACTCAACCTGTGACAGGGAGACCACCACTAAACATGGTAAAACAGTAGTGGTTGTCTGTCAAATAAGATTGGCGAATAAGTGTAGTTAAATCTTTTTTGCATGGTTAATCACATCTTTCCAATGATTACTCAGTTTGTAACCGTCATCACGGTTGAAATTATGTCTGTGTTTGTATATTTGTATGGCTTCGTGTACAAACCTTTGATGGTAGCCAGGAGGTTTGCAGAGAACCTTGGTCTCGGAAAATACAATTTCATGAGAGCCCACCGAGTTGTAGCAATGATCGGCAATGGCCGAAGAATCAGTTCTGCCGTGTTTCAGATCTGACTTGTGCTCGCGGACACGATCAGAAACATGACGTTTCGTTTCTCCAATGTAGCAATCTCTCATTTACTTGATACAGCTGTCGTGGCTGTGACGGTACCACCTGAAGACGGAAGCTTGTGTTGCCTCCGAAACGTCGTGATTTTTTTTATTTTATTTTACTTTTTAATGTTTTTACCTACGTGACTTTACCGAAAAAACCTAAGAATATGAATCATTGCAGTCACGAAAGCTTCAAATCTAGAATTAATGCACTCCACTGCATCTTTGCATATCCCACACCGCACACTGTACACC